AGTTTCTTGTCCACACAGATGCCTCCATGTTTGGGCTGGGAGTCGTGTTGAGTCAAGTGGGGGACGACGGGATGGAGCACCAGTGGCATATCTCAACCGGAAACTATTACCCAGAGAGGTCAGCTATGCCACCATGGAGAAGGAATGCCTGGCTCTTGTGTGGGCATTAAAGAAGTTTCAACCATACCTCTACGGTCGTCCCTTTACTTTAATGACAGACCATAACCCCCTCACCCGGTTAAACAGAGTCGCTGGAGATAATCCCTGTTTGTTACGCTGGAGCCTGACCAACAAAACAGCAATGCTGATGGTTTATCCTGGCAAGCGGAGTTGGAACCTTGACTGACTTTCCCTGGACATCCCAAAGCCAACCTGGCAGGGGCTAGGTGGGTATGCCAACCCATGGAACTAAGGGGGAGCAATGTGAAGAAAACTACTGACCACCCCCCTGGCTCATTATCTTCAAAGAAAAAAATGCAGATTAAGTGCTCTCCCTGTGTGGTCGCCGTTCGTATGGCAGCACGCCACGTGTTGTAGCATGAAAAGAGGCAGAGGGACTTGGTCGTTGAGTGTCTGAAACTAAAATCGGAAGCACTCGACTACCTGAATGCCGGTCAACTTCGTGAACATCTGCTTCTTTTCCTCGACCAGCCAGGAGAGCGCTATGTGGTTATTTTTTTCCCCACGAATTAGGGGAACAAACGCTACTCATGAGCCAGGTAAATAGTTTGTGAATTTGTTCGGCTTTTAGACTTCCGAAATGGACCGACCGCTTCCTCTGAAACTGTGGAACTGTTTTGGGCATAGGATCTTGTGTGTGGTCGGTCAAATTATGACCTCCATGGAAATCCCGAACCCCATAACCAATCTGGGTGATTTTTGGGTATATTGGTCCCCCAGATCAGGGTTATCAGGGAATATGACTTTTGTGGGGTTTCCATTGGTTTTAAGGTACTTTCTGGTTTTGTTTGTTTTTATGGTTTCTTTTTGCCTAGAGAAAATTGAGTTTAGTACAATCCTTGACTCAATTATCTCCCAAGCACAGGGAAAGGATTATCCTATTTTATGTGGGAGTGTCCTGAACCTGAGAGCCAATGTGTTTACAGAATGTATTTTGTCATAGTCCCCTCTCAAGTCCAGTGGGGAATGCCCTGGAATATGTCACTGTAAACCCCTGTGCATGGGGACTTGCATATAAACGGGCAAGTTGGCCTGAATAAATTAATTCCTGTTGTACCCTTCATCTAGTCTAGGCTGATGTTTGGGTATCCGTCTGATTTGCTTGGTGAATTTGCTTGGATGCTATATTTCTTCTGGAGAACATTCGAATCAACACCCAAACTGCAAGCTATACTCACTCAGCCTCTAGCAGTTCGGGAGGAAACGAACAAACAGGTATCTGAAATACCAGCGTTCGTTACAGGCACACATAGGCTCACACACTTCCAGACATACATACAATTACTACATCTTGTAGTAGCAGGGTGACTTCACAGGGGTCCAGAGGGGAACTAGCTGCAAAGAGTGTAAGCTGTATTCATTGCCTTTTATATGTTGATGCATCTTTTTCACGTACTGTGTAATTACTTCCTCATAGTACAAATGTGCTGGTAGACAGGTGAGGCAGACAAAACACCACGGCACAGGGACAGTAGCAAAGTTCAATTATATGGTTTGGTTATTGGAGAATTTTGGGATGTAATCCTAAGGTGCCCTCAATGTGTTTCTTTGTATGTGGTAAAGGGGTTGCCCCAGTTCTTCCCCTAAGGAATTTGGAGCAATGAAACATGTGTGTGGTGTGTTCCTCCATTATTGTGTGCACTTGCCTGGTTATGCTACCCTCAGCATACAGATTTAAAGAGAGACAATTATATATCATCAACCAGACCACTTTTCTTTTTACTGTCCCATGCGGGCCCTAGGACTCAGTTGGGTCTCTTAACAAGGTACCAGCTGTACCTTACTGATGGCACCATTTAGTGTCTTTATGTGTTTTCTTTCTTTTCATTTTGCATATCCCTATGTAAAATTCAAAAATCATATATAAAGTTCCTTTAACATATAACCAAATGTAAATTCATTATAAAGTGTCATATATCTCAACCAAACTGATTAGAAAATAAAACAAATGCAATAGTTGAACTGCAATCCAATTTCCATGTACCAAACTAGCAATTTTAAACATTTTCTCATGACAATATTAAAAGATGACAGTTGTCATTTTATTAAATACATTTTCTGCTAGGTAATTGACATGGAAAAGAATTGGAGAAGATGCAAAACAGCTGCATTTTTCCAAAAGTTCAAGTAAGTATGTTAGCAAAAATGCACTCTTTGTTCTTCATATATTGTAATGTACAAAATATTTGCTGTCGCTTCAGCTTCACTCACAACAAATATATTAGATGGAAGAAATAAGCAATACTGTATTGGGAATTAAATTGTATTTTTGTTGCTAGATCTTACAGTAATAAATTAGCATTAAAATCTGCTATGCATGCTGTTATACTTAGGAAGCTTTTTTGGCACATGGCCCAGATCTGTTGAGTAGTTGTTCAGAGTAACCGTTCAGAGTAACCAGCACCTAATATCAACATTTTTTTTTTTCTTGTTTCAAAATTACTTTGAACCTACAATATGTATCTCAATCTTTATCATGGTAGTATTTTGATTGGTTCATTTATCCACAAATAATGTACGTGAACTTTTTGGCTTCAGGTAATTATGTAACCTCCTACCTCCCAAATGATGAATATCAGACATGGATGTGTGCAGCTGCCTATCCCAAATGATCTGCTCAGCATCCTGTAAAGAATTAAGTGTCATTTGGACGTAGTTAGCTGTGAGCACATCTACACACATCTCGTTCTGTCAACCATCATATTTTTACTTTTTCACTGGATCTTAGCACCATGACACTGAAAGTGTAATAGGTAAGCTACACACTATGATTTTATATTTTCTTATAAAGAGCAAAAAACAAGTTGCAAGAGAATACTAAAAACAGCTCAAACAACCTGCCCTTCGGTGGCTCCCCTTTCAGTTCTCCAGCTGGTTTTAGTTCATCTAGTGCAATTACAAAAAGAACCAGACCATTTGCATATCAGACTGATCGCACCCAAAAGGGCAGAACAGATCCAAACTGCGGGTCATCTCTCTGTACAAAAGATACAGCAACCCTAGACGATCGTTTCAACCTTACTATGCATCGTCAGTGAGGTATAGCGAATATCCCTTTAGGCCCCTTGAGCAAGGGGTCCACGTCTGGATTACCCTTTAAACTTAGGAAAAGCAAAAAACTAGTTGTAAGAGATATATTTTTATATACATATTTGATAGCTGAAAACCTGTCTGAATAGAACTATGTAAATAGGCCATGTAAAATATGAGGACATGTAGAAATGAAGAGGATACATTAGTGTGATGTAAGTTGAGTTTACAATTGCTCAACTTCTTATGAAAATCCTTTTAAAACTGCAACTGAACAAAGCACTAATTGCACCTTCTGGTTCTTTGTTGTATACCAACATGGCTGTAAGTATAACAGGGGAATTTAGGAAGGGGGAACAAAAACCTCCACTCAGTTACTAAATACAGGACTTCAATAATATAAATAAAAATGTGTATTAGAAAACAAAATAATTTTATCTTTATGTATGTCCTAGAGAACAAGAACTATAAATGACATTTTACAACAATATATTTATTACTAATAATTATAATAGTGATAATACATTACCATACTAGAATAACGTGACCAAAAACAACACTTAATTGCAAACTGGCTGCTGTCTTTGTTAGGCTTGCGTGCATATAGGGTTATTCAACAAGCACCAAACTTTGACCAGATGGAAAAAAGTCAGTGAAAATGGCTGCATTTTGAACGGATTGACAATTCTTATGTTTAGTAAGGTCAAATCTGGTCCATATTCAATTCTACTTTGCAAAAAGTAAAAAGAAAACTCAATGCCACAAATATTAACCAGTGTGCCATCTTGGCCATCACTTGCTAGCCAGCTGCCACTCTTAAACACATTTTTTTTAAAAGTTAAACAAGGTGTTAGGGTGTTATGCCTTTAATCTAGATATAGGGAGGTTTCTAACATCTACTACCAAACTTACCTGGTGTGGGAAACTAAATAATCAAGACGGGTGGACATTCCACTGTCCAAGCCAGCTATCTCCCCACCTATGGACTTTGGGTGGGTATTAATACAGGGCAACGTTTCGATACCTGAGAGTTTTTGTCAATAATAGTTCTCAATTAATATATAATAAATGCTTACAAATCTTGTAATGCATTGAGGCACAATGACGACATAGCAGGGTGTCATCTTTCTTTTTACTACATTTTGCTAGTATAGTTTTGTGGTCCACAAAAAAAAAGTGTTTAATAAAAATAACGTCAGGGGCTTTGTTCCAGGCTGTATGTAAATATGTTAGAAAGGTGTTACAGTTATCTATATTATGATGTTTGGGTAAATTTGCTGTCACTGCCAAAATAAATGTATCTGGGGTGATAATGCGTGTATTATCATTTCTATAAAAGATTGCACTATATTAAATTCCACTTAAATCTTCTCTGTCAGATTGTAAAGGCCATATGTGATTGAGCATTCGTTTTCTCTGAAAAATAAAATCTGAATTGCTTTAATATATTGGCATTTAAATTTGTGACAGCTATCTATATATTTAGCATGTGTTTTCCCTAGACATCAGTAACATTTTAATAGATGTCCCTGATTTTGACGCTTATAATGTGTGGAAGTAAATAAACATGTACAGGTTTCTCATTCATATGCATCGGTATAAAATTAGATACATAATTTACATGGTTATTCACAAAACTCTAAAGAGAGCTGAAACTGAACAGAGCAATGTGGTGGCAACAGCTCATCTGAAAAAAAATCTCTCAATCTGCTAAAGTCACAACTTTATGATGATGATTATTTTATATTATTATTACAGCCCCAATTTAGCAATTTGGTTTTAATTCACAACTATTTGAGTCTGCCATATTTGATCATCAGGAGGCTAGTGTCCGCCAAAGCAGGGAACTGTATGCAGTCCAATAAAACTTGCAGCCGACTTCCACGCTGGATTATTCGGGGCTGCCGCAATTCAAGATGGGCATAAGGTGACTGTGAGGTTGGCCCGGTTGCAGAAGTACCTCGCTTGGCGGCAGGGTCGGTTGTCATTGGCGGGAATGGTCGCTGTGCGGCATTCTGTCCCTTCAGTGCAGCAGCTGTCATCAGCTTGGTTGGATCGCCTGCACAGTTCGCCGCTGGCTTGTATTGTTGAGGGGACGGGTGAGAGTTATTCTGTCTGTTTGCGTTGTGGGGTAGGAAGGCTGCGGACACATCAAGCTTGTGCCCGGGAACCGCGCTGATTGCTGTGGGCGCGGGGAGAGAGCAGTTCTTCCCTCTGAATTCGGCACACATGGCGCCCGCTATTTTAGATGCAGCGCTCGGGCCGCAGGTAGAGGTGGGATTGTCGCTGGGCCTTGGTTGCGTTGCAGCGGTCGGGGCAACAGGGTTAGGACCAGGATCACCCCCACTGGTCCAAAGGGGGGGGGACAGGGCCAGATCCCCTGGCTGGGTTCCGTTAGGCAGGAGAGCGGGGCAACAATCGTCTGCCCCACTCACCGCCGGAGAAAGCCCCAAATGGGACGTCGAAGATTTCTCCTCCAGGGGACTGAAACTCAAGGAGCCAGCTTTGCCCTGGATTCAGTGTTCCCTTTGCACCAAGGACCATCGCTGTTGGTCTGCATTTGGGTCGAAAGTCATGTTTTAAAGGCTTAAAAATTAGTAAGTTGCAGGAGCTGATCTTGCTTGCGACCGTCCAGTTCGGCGGTCCGGCCCCGCCCCCTTCCCCATTTTATATTTAATTGGCAGAGGTTTCCAACTTGATCATTACAGTTAACGGTTGCCATTGTCATTACAAACTAAAAACCTACCTCTATCTGGTTAATTCATTTCACAGGTAACTCCCTACACATCCTATAAAACGAATATGTTTAAACACTACATCATATCTCAAAGTATTTCAAACCAAAGATAAAAATGAAAGTCAGAGACATGGGTTTAAAAATAAACACATTTTTATATAAATAAAGTGAATCTGTCATTCAAATGAGCAAGTCACAGCAAGTCACCAAAGTTAAAAAAGAAACAAGAATCTTCCTGGCTCTGCCTGGTGGAAACAAATGAACCTGAGCTACTTCCCAGCACGTCATATAGGAAAAATGAAATCATTCTATACCCAAGTACAATGAAGCACCAAAGCCCATCTATAAGCAGGATACAGATATATATTTATATTTAAATATATCCCATAATGGCATATTATTCCAACATATATGCATGGCACACCGATTGGCCAATTTTTGCCACCTGTCAGTTCTTCTAGATCTGTGCTCCCAAATCTTTTTTTGGTCATGTCTGATAAAATCTATTCAGTAGCCTCCATTCGGCCATGCTGAAAAAAAAAAAAAAATTGAAAACAGTGGTTCTGTTTAAACAGTTTTCTTGCCCATGTCTGGTCAGTAGTGTTCATAGGAGCACCTTTAGCAAATATTTCAGACAGTTACAATATGCCATGTTGTAGGTCCACAACTGGAAATTCACCTTAACCTCTTAAGGACACGTGACATGTCATGATTCCCTTTGATTCCAGAAGTTTGGTCCTTGAGGGGTTAAAGGAACACTAAAGGCACCAAGACCACATGAGCCGACCCAATGCCAAGGGAGATCGGCGCTGGAAATGGTTAAGTGTTAAAAGGGGTTTTTAACCTTTACTGTACTGGGAGGACATGAGGGAAAGGAGTTGGGCAGAGTGAACTGAACTGAACTGAACTGAACTGAAAGCAACTTTGTATTGCTTACACTATAGAATCCCTTAAAAAACAACCCCCTAAAAAATAACACTTGCAGACAGGAGAGGTGATAAAAAAAATGATTCCTTTGCATGGGGGAGCTCCGAATGTGCTGGGTGCAAAAGACTTCACACATATTCCCATAATGCCTTAAAGTGGCTGCATGCCTATCTTCAGAATTACAAAACACATTAACTCACCCAATGGGCAAGTTGTGTCTGACTATAAGATGACATCAATAAACAGAAGCAAAATTCTGAACTCTAGCAGCATTTTGAAGGTGGGTTCATTTCATACTAACTGCATTAATATAATATACTGAACAAAAATCATCGTGCAACATTCATATATCAATAATGCAATTCCTTCATTCTTCTAGAAATAGAAGGTAATTTCTAATTTCAATATTATTATATATTTTACACATGTCTCTTATATATGTCATTTGCTTCATTCTCGCTATTCACTTAAGAAATTTCTCAAGTGGCTCCTCCTATTAGTACCTATTGGACAGGCAATTAAATCAAGAGCATATGAGGACCAAAGGCATAGCCGAGAGACTCTTTGGGGTCCTCAAGATGCACTTTTAATATATGGACCATTTAGGATGTCCTGCTTTATATACCGGAAAAAAAAATGAAAATCCCCAATACATGCTTTTTCCTCCACAACCTGGTCCAGTTATATGGATTTATTTCTTGGGATAGTAATTCCACCACAGAGATGACCCATACAGAAACCCTGGAAAATAGTCAGGTCAAGAGTGATCCCGATTTCTTCACTTAAGTCATAATCTCTATTCACATTAATATGAATATGCATGCTATTTTGTGCCCTCAGGTTCTCCTTCTCTTTACAGATTGATTCTGTTTGATCACATATGTGTTGACTTTACCAGTAATCATTGACAGCTGATGTAAAAGTCATGTTACAGTAATTTAATAGGTAAATATTAGTTAATTAGTGATCTATCACAAGATGGCTGCATGTACTTTCTAAAGCCAAAACATGCTTCTGATATATATATGAACTGCCTATTTATTATTAGCATTTTTGAATCAACACATTATATGCAATTTTAAAATGTGTTATCTAAAATGGTTTAACAAAGGTAATTCAATTAGCTGGGATTTGTGCAGCAAATTTTGGTACAAATGAACACAAATGCAGCACAAAGAAATTGTATATTTCTTTTTAAAGTTTAAAAACTTGGGGTGCGAAGTAGGCATTGCTTGCAATTACAATATAATGTGCAATATCTCCAAATGATTGTGTTATTTACATACTATTATATTAAACTTATTTAATTGTTTAATCATCTCCAATTCCTATTCCCATACCATTTTCCCCATTTATTTCTCTTACAATCCATGTCCATCCAAAAAACAACAGTTTTTAAGTGGGCATCAGTTGAAGGAAGGAACATCCATGACTAATATGGATGGGGGAGTAGAAGCAAAGTCATAGGTTGCAGGATCAGACTAAAAGAGAAGAGGTATGCTGGTAAGAAAGAGGGGCACTTGTTCCTGAACTTGAAGATAAGGCGTATGAAGCCTTGAGGGATAAGTGCAGTGGCGGAACTACCGCGGTCGCAGGGGTCTCAGTTGCGACCAAGCCTGTGACCGCGGTGCCTGCCGAGATTCTGGTGCGGCTCTGGCCACGTGGAACAACCGCTGGGGCTGCATTGAAGGGGTCTATGGCAATGAATTACCTGGGGCCCGGTCAGCGCTGGGGCATTTTAAGAGCGCGACCAGGCCCCAGTGACGATGTCAGAGCACCCGCTGGTGCTGGGAGGAAGCCGTCACTTCCTCTCAGCTTAGAGAGCCTTGTGGGTAAAGAGCGCCAGGGAGGAGTGGAGGGAGTCAGAGTGGGAGCTATGACTCCCATCAGCCGAAGGCAGCCACCGGACCCCAGGGAAGGAACCCTCCTGCACCTAAAAGTATTTGTGTGTATTTGTGTGTTTATGTGTGAGAATGTGTGTGTGTGAATGTGTGTGAATGTCTGTATCTGTGTGTGTCTGCATGTGTGTCTGTATTGGTGTGTCTACAAGTGTGTCTGTATGTTTATCTTTGTCTGTATCTATCTATAAGTGTATCTGTTTGTGTGTATGGATATCTGTATGTCTGTATGCATATCTGTTTGCATGTGTGTCAGTGTGTGCCACTATGTATCTGTATGTGTGTCACAGTTTATATCTGTATGCGTGTAATTCTGAGTATCTGAGTGTTTGCCATTAAGTGTGTCTGTGTATCTGCATTTGTGTCTCTATGTGTGTCTGTGTATCCGCATGTGTGTCTGTGTGTTCTGTATGTCTGAATGTGTATCTGTTTGTCTGCATTTGTGTAACTGTTTGTCTGTATGTGTATCTGTTTTTCTGCACATGTATGTGTATCTGTTTGTCTGCATGTGTGTCAGTGTGTGCCCCTATGTATCTGTATGTGTGAAACTGTTTGTACCTGTATGCATGTCATTCTGTGTATGTGTATCTGCATGTGTCTATATGTGTATCTGTCTGTATGTGTGTTTGTGTATTCGCATGTGTGTCTGTGTATCTGTATGTGTGTCAGTGTTTATATCTGTAGAAGTGTCATTCTGTGTATCTGAATGTGTATCATTCTGTGTGGCTGTGTATTAGCATGTGTGTCCCTACATGTATCTGTATGTGTTATATTATACAAATGGAGGGGTGGGGGGGCCAGGGCAATTTCTGCACCAGGGCCCTGTAGTTTCTAGTTATGCCTCTGGACAAGCGATATGATATAGTAATAAAGAGAATGTGTTCAGTGCCCCCACACATTCCTACTTTGGCACATATGCTACCAGTGGACCAAGCACTACTAATGACCTGTCCTCAGGTGGTTAATTCGTCATGCAGGGAGCAGTTCCACCTCCCCTACCATGTGACCTTTTCCCCCAGACTGTGCATAATCCGTAGTGCTATAAAATCTGGCTAGGGGAGTCATTTGGCACAATGCAGGGCTCCACAATTCTTTTCAAAGTTCCACAGTGCTTTTTTATCTAGGCCATTAACAATCCTGGCAATGTTTGCTATTTTAGTGTGAGTGCACAATGTGTCTGCTATATCACCTGGTTCTGGTTGCCATGGAGATGACATAAAAGGCACACTTTGTACAGTGTTATACCAGTGTCGCTACTAGGGTTCCGCTAACTTGCTGATTATATCAGAAGAAGCAGACGTTATTAAAAGTAGTAAAAGATTGAGATACGTTTGCTAATAGCAGTACCTTATGGCAGATAATTATTGGCAACACTGGAAATGAACTCTTAGTGAAAGAAGCTATGTTTTAAACATAGGAACTGTCATTCATCTCAAAACATGTACTTCTAACATGATAAACATACAAAATATTTCCTCTGTGTGTAAATGGTATGTGAGCTATGCTGCATTAAATGGGTTTAATGCACTCTGGTACCTTGTTAGTATTATTGGATATATACAGATTATCTAGTTTTGTTTTAGTTTGAAACTATTAATGTAATTGTGTTATAATATTTTCTCATAAAGTGCACTGTGATTTATGTAAGGAATACACATTCTGCTAGGTTATGTTATGCTTATTATATTTTAACATACCATACGTATCTTTGCGCACTATAAATATTTTTTTTTAATAAATTGAATCTAGATATGTTATTACAAAGCATAAAATTTTGACAGTTA